TGGAGCTGAATTTACTTGAAAATGGAAAGCTAGCTTATTGTATTTACAGTTGATTCAGTCCAGCTCGTTTCCCTTTATCTTCAATAAACTTGATAATGATTCTTTTTGAATATCAAATCTGTAAGTTACACTTCTATTCAAAGACTGGTTCCAAAATTCAAGTGATGCTGACTGTAAATGACCCATAACAATGAAATGACTAAGCTGGTGACATGTGTTCCGTGTAGAGGTAAAATGCTACCTAGTGCAGACCACTTAGTAATCACTGGGAAGAGGGTTTTCTAGATTTGGGGGGAAGTAAATTGGAATTTTTTTGTTGTTTCTTTTTTGTGGGGTTTAGGGGTATAGTATGAATCTTATGATCTAAAAAAAAAAATGAAGTATACAAGGCTGCATCGTATATGCCTGTCAATTAGACCTTTGTCTTCTAGAAATTAGTGGATTCTTTCCTTTAATCCTCAGAGGTATTTTTTTTTACAAGATTCTTAAATAAGAGTTCTACTTAGTCTGTTTACCATGAACTTGAGGTAGCAAACCTTTACATCTAATTCCTACAAGACTTAAGGGAAGACTGAGACTCACCAAGTGAAGCTTCAGCCAAGTTCTCAGCAACTGTTCGCCTTGATTCATCTTTTAAGCTTTTCATTTTGCCAGCTCTAAAACTCCCAATCTTCCTTGATTTTTGTCCTTTATTTTTTATGTCCCGAGCAGAAGGGGGAAAAAAAGAGGAACTTGCTTAAATGTGTCGATTAGTCTGTGGGCTGAGACTGGGACGTCCCTTTCTTCATTATGCAGTGTCACTGTATACATGAGCAGACACCAGGTTGGACATTCTTCTGATACCTTAACAGTGCTGAAATTTGCAGCATGGGACTAAGGAAGTTTGAGTGTGACAACTTTATTTAATTTTTTCCTTTAATTTAAATGAAATGGGATTGAAGTAAACATGATTTTGTTGAGTGTGTTGGAAGAATCGTGTGATGGTCTTTTACGATACTTAATTTTTACACATTCCTGTTTCTCTGGATACCTGTATAGACAAAGAAACAACAAAGTTCTGCTTTGCTTTCATTGAGGGATTCCAGGACTGCCTGCCTTCTCCTGGCCTATGTTTGAAGTATATGTGTCCTTTGCCTGTATTTTGTGTTAAAAAAGTAAGAAAAAGCTACTTGGGAGGCAGAGATCAGGAGGATTGCAGTTTGAGGCCAGCCATTGCAAAAATTTAGCAAGATCCCATGGTGGGGCATTCTGTAATCCCAACTATGCAGCAAACATAGATAAGGATTGCTGGCAAAAAGTGCAAGACCCTATCTGAAAAATAAAAAACATAGAGGTGTAGCTCAGGTAGTAGAGAGCTTGCCTAGAAAGTACAAAGTCCTGAGTTCAAACCCCAGGACTGCCAAAAAAAAAAAAAAAATCCAAAAACAAAACTTCTGTATTGCTGAGTATATTGACATTGTTTATTTTTTTCTCTTTGAAGAATGTATGAAGCAAGTTATTCTTTTTCTGTGTCTTTTTTTTTTGTAAATGTTTTTGTTTTGTTTCAAAATGGCTTTATGAAAGGTCTTTTATGATCCCTCCCATCTCCCTAAATCTTCAGGTTTATACTATCATGCTCATTCATTAATTCATCATTCAACTAAAGATGTATAACCTAAGCAGAATTTGATTATGGGAGAGAAATCATTGTGAATACATATATTCACTAGGTCTAGGGGATAAATGAATTTATTTTTGAGATAGGAAGAAAAGCACTGAGGCCCAAGAGAACAATTGAATTAATTCTATGCTGGCATTAGTTAATGGCTCAGGGAAGAAGCACTGTCTGAGCTGTTTTGAAAAGGAAGAATTAATGCATTGTAGGCAACATATAAGGCCACCTCATCAAAGGACCTATATTCCATTACCAGTGAAAAATGCAATGTAACTGAAATGTAGAGTGATTGCAAAAGTTGGCAATGGACCAATTTGTGAACAAGTTCATATACAAACCTGAGAAATTTTAACTTAACCTTGCTATCTTTCTCCTCCTCATGGCCACTGAGGTTAGTCAAGGCTGTGGCAACAAAAAAAAAGGGGACTCCCTATGAAATAAGGAAACAGTTTGGCCAAGAGTACTCATTGTGGATCTCAACACCTATTCTCCCTCTAATCCTTATTAAGAGAATCCTAATTTTAGTTAAGATAGCCTTGAACTCAAGCTAAATGGAGTGTCTCCTTCAGTAGGTCTACCTATGAGACAGGCGTGTGGAAGTGCTGTACTGCTGTATGGAACGGCCCAGAGAGTTTCTTAAGAAGAGAAGGGCACCCTTTCCCTTCTGTCTGTCCTCCTTCTTCCAGGATTCCAGAGGATATGATGCTTGGACTATGAGGTGAACTATAGGATGGAAGCCTTTCTTAGGATGTTGACTTCCTGAGGACTGTGGATACATATTTCTGTAGACTTTTCTCTGAACAAGGAATAAGTTTCTGCCTGTTGAAGCTACATCTGCCAAACCTAATCCCAGTAGCCAAAGATGAATACTAATGTTATGATAATGAGAAGCCCTTAGGTTTTTTAAGGAGCCATCTGAGAAAAGAAAATATCAGTTAAAGAGACTGAAAAGAGTGGGACAGAAAACAAGAGAAAAAGATAGATCCAAGAGGTAGGATGGGAGTTGAATAGTAAGCAAGATGCAAAAAGAGGCTAGTAGAAGGCATTAAATGAGTGCTGGACGTTAATTTAGAATTACAAAGTTGTTAATAAGTCCAAGAGTGACAAGCCTGTCAACTGAGTTGAGCTTCCCAGGGAATGAGAGACAGGGAAGCCAAATTAATAATTATTTTTAAACTGATGGAAATAAAGCAATAAGGTTAAAGATAAGGTAAAAAATGGAAAAGAGACATTTGATGATTTTTCCCTCAACCAAAATGTATCTACAATTGTCACAAATCTGTTAATATTGGCTATTATTTATTGAATGGAAACTTTACCTAATTCTTTGATTATAAACTCAAATCTTCAAAATAAATTAGAAACATTAGAAATAAGTGGTCCTTCCTGATCATGTTACGTGCTGCTGGGAGGTGTTGTAGGCTGGGGTCGAGGGTCCTTGCCTTCACAGACCAGGGAACTGGCTCATGAGGCAGCTGAGTGATGGGCCAAAGCCAGTGATAGTGGGATTTATTAGAGAGAAGGAAAAGGCTACAGCTACCAAGGTGCAGCAGAGCCCAGAAACTGGTAGCTCGCTGCTCAGGTGAAGGCTGGGGTTTATATGGACGTTTTAACTCTGGATTAGGTGGATTTTTTCCTCGTTGGCCATGGATTTGAGGCTTTCTCAGGTGATCTGGTTTGGTTTGCATCTTTACTGGGGCAGGGGAAACAATCTTGAGAGCATTTAGCTCATCAGCCCCGTGGCAGATCTATCAGACTCTGTATCTCTTCTTTAGGATGCAGAAGTGCATATTTACAACTCCCTCTCGGGGTGCAGGAACACAGGCCTCCATCTCCTCAGGATGCAGGAATGATTTTGCTCTCCATGGGGAATGGGATACTCACTCACCTGTCTTAGGTCTCCAGACACAACAATCACATTCAACATTCATTCTCTGTTCCCACATAGCATGTGATTCTGAAAAGCAAAATATTTTCTGCTCCCAACTCGAATTTGGTGGGAATACATGCATCTGTACCAAATGGGTATGGATAGAGATGACCTGAAGCTCTGACGTGAAAGAAACAAAGTTTCTTTTAATGCTGAAGAAGTTCTTATCCAATTATCCAAAGACTTGGGGGTATTTCACCTATTCGTATCTAGGGTTTTCAAATTCACATAAGGATGCACATAACCACTGGGTTCATATGTGATTCATTTGCAAGCTCTCTTCCTCTTCTTCCTGGTCTCTGGCCCCCTGCCCCTCCTTCTTTTTCTGCCCTTCTTCCACCACTCCCTGTCTTCTCCCCTTTCTCCCTGCTTCCCTTCTTCCTTTCTTCTCTCCTTTCATTTTTCCCTCCTTCCTTCCTGAAACATACAATTACATTGGATAGAAACTATAGCACATAAGGGTGAAGTATTGGATTCTTTAGGGTAGTTCAATACCTATTTGAGCCAATAGCAAGAAGTTTTTACTAGAAAAGAAAATGAATTATAAATTGGGGGCAGGAGCCAAGGCAACTTGGATCAAATAAAATATTGACTAATTATGTTGAATTTATGAAAATTGGACAGATCATATTAAGTAAGATGCCTTCAAGCTAATGAATCACTTTCAATAACAAGTATCATAGAATATGTGTATGATTGACAGTGAAATAAAGTCAAATCAATACTGGGAGGGAGGTTGTTTATCAATGTGTAAATTGAATCTGTTTTTTGGAATAATTGTGAAGAATTTAAATGCATTTTCCCATGTGCTTTTGAAAGAAATTGCTTAGACCTTGAAAAAAAAACTAAGTCTACATTATGGTCTCTGCTGAAAGACTTCAAGAATAGATTTCCATTTCTATTAGAGTTCTCCTGCCTTCTTGAATTTGCTGCTACAAAAGAGAAGAACATACTTTGTAAACTGTGAGTTCCCCTACAATTCCTGTTCAATTCAGCAAGTTTTAAAGTAAAGTGCTGGCTTAAATCATTCAAGTCAAATGGATGAAATAACTTCTTTGTTTTCAAGAGGCCATAACTTTGGGAGGGGAGGGTGGGAAGAGGAGTTTTCAAAACTAGCTTCCTTCAGTATTGCAAAGAGAAGCTCCCACTTCTCTCCCTGTTGTGGATGTAAGGAATGCCCCTTGGTATATCCCTATAGAACTTTTGAAACTCACAGAGCTATTTAAAGGTAAAAAATATTGTATAATTTTATTTGTCAAAGCACTAATATGTCTCAGTTACATTTAGCTACAGTACAAAGAATAATAAAATAGCACCTGGAAATTTTCATAATAGGTTGACTCCTTTATCTTCCTTATTTTCTCTCCACTTCACTAAAAGAAAGAAAACAGAGTGCTCCACCCCCACTCCTTTAGTCTACTGGGTCACCAGGGGCCTGATTTTCATGCGAACAGCCCTAAGGGAATAATCTGCTCCTCTAAAGGGGATCCAGACCACGCCATTCTCAATCTCATAAGGGCTGTTGTTCCTGGGGTCATAGGTGCCCCCGGGGTAGTAGATGCCATTGAGGTTGGCTGCCTGGCAGTTGTTGTACCACCAGCCTCCTCCATAGACCTCTGCACAGTTCTCTTCCCACTGGTCTGTGTCCCTGTCAAAGGTGCTGAACTTCAGGCCATTGTGAGACGTGTACTCTGTCCCTTCCTCCACAGAGCCCTCCATCAGAGCATCTCCTGCAGTGCCCTTATAAGAAGAGACCTCCAGGGCATAACCTTCAGCCTCAGAGCTGACCCGGAAGTGATACTCTGCATAAGCCATGATCCCAGCCCAGTCCTCTAACTCCACCCTAAGGACAGAGCCCCTCAGAGTGAGTAAGTGGAGATAGTCATTGCCTAGCCAGAATTCTCCTTGGCCCTTCTCATTCAGGCTGCCGAAACCTCTCTTGTAGTCTTGCCAGGTCCGGTTAAAATTCAGTGATCCATCCATTCTTTGCTGGATCAAAAGCCATCCTCCCAAACTGGTCTCTTGATCACAATAAACAGAAAAAATCTTACTGGATCCCGGTAGCTTGATATTGAAAATGCCACTTTGGGCACCTGAAGGATGTGTTTGGAGGACATCATCACAGTCTAAAAAAAAAATTAAGCTGGTTGGAAGAAGTTACTGTCATTTAACTTTACAAAGATGGACATATGGCCCAGATTAAAGAAGGCAAATACTGCTTTCTTTCCTCCCTTCCTTCTTTCCTCCCTTCCTTCCTTCTTTCCTTCCTTCCTTCCACCCATAGGAAAAGGATGCACCTATGATGGGATATAATTTTGCAAAAGTGAGGATATTTACATCTGCAAAATGCAAACTTTCCTCAAATGGATTTAGAACTTACTTGTACATACCAACTAAGAGCAAGTAAATCAAAGATAGTTAAGCATCAATTAGTACTAACACAACTTTTTTTTTTAACCTGATCTAAATGTCATCTGACACACAGACTAACATTTGATTAGTTGAAAGGGTGACAATTCCGATAGCATACATTTCAAATGATGAAAGAATTTGGTTAAACAAACTCAAAACAGAGTTTCAGAAGGATTCATTAATTCGTTGGACATATATTTATTGAATAAGGATTCTGGATTGTTAGGCATTTGGAATACAGAGATGAACACAGTAGACAGAGTCCCTGCCCCCATGGAACTTACAGTCTAGCGTGAAAAACAGAACAAAATCACAGAGTGATTTCAATAAAGTGTAACAGAGGGTTAGGGAAGAGGTGCAAGGTTCTTTGAGAGAACTTTGCAGAAATAGTTAACTTAGTCTAGGGGTCAGAGAAGGCTTCCCCAAATGAGAAGTGTTGATACCTCTGGCAGGGCGAGATCTAGCATGGCCTCTCTTGATGGTATGATCTTCATTATTGGCCTCACTTCTGGCCTCATCTGCCATTTTATAGCTCTTGCTTTCAAATGTGGAACCCCCTGAATTGTAAGTTGCGCTACTGGTTATAAGTTTTCTGTGAGTTGAAGTTTTACCAGTGGAGTAGTCAGGTACACCAAAGGAATGAGAGCTGGTGTCCCTTCCTTCTGTGAGGAATTCAGAGTCTGAACCCATGGACTGGGTCTTACTGCTGACCACAGGTGAAGATAAACCTGGGAATGGTGGTGTTTTCCCACCAGAGAAAGCATCATAGAAAACAGAAGAGTGGTGATGGGCAAATTCATCCAGTTTGCCACGGGAACTTAAATCTTGAAAGGCTCCTAAGTCAATGGCCTCACCACAGTCAGTGCCATCTTCAGACTGTACCACTTCTTTGGTCACTTCTTTGTGTCCATCAGGGCCTATCACTGTCTTAGTGACAGTTTTGGAGCATGAACGACGTGTGGTGGTTGTGCCAGTAGAGGTTACTTTCTCATTGCCAATCAGGAGCTCTCTATCTGCTTTAGAAGAGACCAATTTACCTGTGTGATGCTCTCTCGTTGAGGCTGGGCTTACACTGCCTGATACCTCTTCAAATTCACCCCAGTTTGGGTTCATAGGCCTGGTACTCCCATACCTCGGGCTGTCTGGTCTAAAGCTTCCAGGTCCAGAGTTTATAGGAGTCCAGCTTCCACTATGACCAGAACCAGTGGTCCCAGGATTCCAGTGTCCAGTACCATCAGTTCCAGAGACCCCAGGGCTCTGACTTCCAACAGTTCCAGTTCCAGGGCTCTCAGGATTCCGATGTCCAGTACCACCAGGACTAGGCTTCCTGCGGCTGTCTGTTTCTGATCCTAGTCCATAAGTTGCAGAGCCTCCTTGGAGAGTTCCCTCTCTCCCAGGTCGCTCTAGCTCCATTCTCATCTGCTGCATTTCTGCCAATGCTTTCCACTCTGGAGGGGCCGTCGGAAGCTTGCTCTTGAAATCTCCAGGAACCAAGTCTGGAATTGGACTCATTTTTATGACTGGTAAGTATTGATTATCTCTAGAGGGAAGTAAGTCTTTAGCAATGACCTGTTCAAGCTGCTTCTGCTGATCTTCATAGTCTCTCAGGTTGACCTCATGAACTAAAGCCCTACTGCATGACCCTTTGCAAGATCGGATCTTAATGTCAAGTCCACCTAGAGAGAGGAAGATAAAGAGAACAGGTAGAGGTAAGTAAGTGGACTGTGTCTATCAAGCTCTTGGCAATTCATTTATTTTTGGAAGTTGATTCCATTTCTTTGACTTGCTGACCTACCAGTCCATACTCTCTATTTTCCACCTATGTAGCATCCTCACTGACAGACTTCTGGGTATAGGAGGCTACCAGAAGACTCAAGAGGAGTTAATAGGATCTGTCTTAGAATGGGTCAAGAGTAAGGTGCTAGTCCTTTGGAAAGGAACCCCTAATTAAGGGGTCCTCAGTGACACAGAAGCTAAGGACTGAAGCATGTGATGTCATGGGCAGACAGGACTGAGTATGTCCTTTTGAACTTACTATCTATTCACCTTGGGAAATTTACTTAATGTCTCTAAACTTTTTTTTCATCTGTAGAGTAGAGGAAAAATTCCTACTGTTGATGTACATGGTGGATCTAGCACTTTTCTCTGCGTGTAGTAGATACTTTGATGCATGACTGATTGCTGCTTTCTTTTTCACTATCATCCAGAGTTAAGGAAACTGGGTGTGAGGGCCCAACTTACCTCCAGACGTTTCATATCTATCAGCTGAGCCCTGACGTTTTTCTGCAGAAGTTGGATGTGCTGCACTTTCTCTATGACTTTGCGTCTCAGAATCTCAATTCTGCTCCTCAGATCTTCCGACACTTGGTTATATGTATTATCATTGTCTGAAATAGAAAATACCATGTTGAAATAACAGCAGAGTGATTTGTTTATAATAGACAGAAAGTAATAGAAATTGGCTTATAGATAGTCCCACATAGTTTGTTGTCTGGACACTTTATCTGTGAGTTTCAAGATTTTTAGGCATTTGATTTTGGCAATGTTTGTGCTCAGCAGTCACTCACCAGTGTTAGTTACAATGTCTTACTAGTAATTTGGAGTCCTAGTAAATATAAAGTAAATGTCTTTGGAATTTTAAATATTAGTGTGATCACATTCCAGTTATTGTATCAGAACCTTTCTCAAGGGACTTGAGTATCTTATTGAATTTTCTTACTAAGGATTTTTTCTCCTACCTGTAGATCTGAAATTATTTCTGAGCTTTTTGGAGGCCAACAGGGTCCATCACTTGCCAGCTAGTGCTATACCATTGATATTAAATTGGTCAGTGTCTCCTGAAGTTAAAACAAGGCAAGGCTTCAGGAACTGGGACCTATCTGGACTCACTGCCCATGTCCTAATCAGAATCTACAGGAAGACAGAGCTTGATTCTATATTCTAAATTTAAAACCTACATAATCAACTGAGTGGAGTCTATGAGTTTGTGTCTTTGAGTTCTGAGCTTCCTGCTCTATGAGATACAGACTTTTTTTAAAAGGGTCTGGCCTTTCTTATTTAATATATGCTCTTGAAAAAAACATATGGAAATTCTTGTCTTCAGTCCAAAATTCTGACTTACTTTGTGACTTTAAACAATCTAACTTCTTTTACTTAGTGAAACTAACAAGAATAAGTCCCTCCTTAAAATTCAGGGATGCCATGGAAGAATGTGTTTCTATGCTAAGAACTTTGGAGTAAAGTTTCATTAGCTATGAGCAGGCATCATATTTATTTAGGATTTTAGTTGGTTTTGCTATAAAGTCAAAGCAATAAATATGTAATACTTACTATTGGCCCTGGCAAAGTCCCCTCTCAAAATCTCCATTATATTCCTGGTCAATGAGTTCGAATCCTTATTGTTCTTTTGAAAATCAAACAGTGAATTTTTGAGCTTATTTATTCGGTTTGTAAAATCTTGATTGATTTCACCAATCAACCCTTTCATCCTGCAGCCGGAAGGGCATTTGTGGGTCTGAAAGTAAAGAGAAAAAAATGACAGTAAGGGTCCACCTCTTGGGTTCTGACCAGTTCTGCAGATTTCCTTGCAACTCCCATTGCATTCTTTCCCCATTTCTTCCACCCATTGATTGCATTAAAAGTAGGAAGAGGCCAGAGTGAGCGGCCAGAGGAACATTCTGGAATGAGGGTCTACTGAACCATAAACCAGGCCCCATGAAATCACAGCACTCAGGTACCTAGAACTTGCCTAAATATGCAGTTAAAATGTAGACTGTCCATCCCACCAATGATGCAGAGTTGGGGAGGTAATTAAACAGGGCTCCTGGGACTAGGTTGTTTTCCATGTGTTTGCCTTAATTTTTCATATAAGAAGCTAGATGAGTGTTAGATTCTTTCTTATAGGAAGATTATTTTCCTATTGGAAAAGGTTTCTGGGACCACTCAAGTCAGCCTGTGAGCCTGTGAGTGTAACAGGCTCCCCAGACCCACTACTTACCCAGTCTTCATCAGCACAGAAGGGCCAGTCCCCCTCTTTGCATGCAGACTGCTGTCTCTCCACAATTCTTGGACCACGTACCCCTCCTCCTTCTGCTAAAAAGTCGCCTTCACCCGTATCTGAAGTCTTTAAAGATTCGTTCACACATACGAAGAAGGGCAACATCAATAACGTTAGCCAGAAGAGGAGACACCCACCGTCATGTCTATAAGTTCCAGGCAAGAAAAGGCACTCTCCTAAGAGATTAAAAGCCCCAGCTGAAGGGGCCTCTGCTAGCTCCTGTTTTCTCATTTCCAAATAAAATTCTAGTACCCATTTTCTGAGTTGTTATGAAGATTGAAGAAGATAAGGTGTACAAATTTCTTAACTGTGTTTAACACTAAATAAATGATCAATGTTAGGAGTCTCAAAGGATCTGTGATAAAATGGACATTATTCGAACGCAACAAAATTAGTCAAATTTCACCTTTTTTCATTAATGACTGCATGTGGGAAGAAAAGCGAAAACTTCAAAGAGTTCTTTCTCCTCTAATTCCTTTTCAGTAGGTGAAAACCTACATAATATTAACTTACTGTTCTTTCTCCTTCAAGTTTTTGCTATAACCGTTAGAGATAATGTGGCCAAGCATTTACACAAGAACACCAATGAAGCCAATTAAGACTTGGAAATGCTTTTTTAGTTTGCTCATTCATGCAAGATTTCTTTTTATTTAGCGAAAATAGTAGATGGAACGAAAAATAATAGTCATGATTGACAATTTTTTGAATACCTTACAATTATAATATTTTTCTATCAGAAACTAGGTGAAATAGGATACAAAAAAAGTTCTCCAAACATGACTTTATATCCCAATGACTGCAGGTAGCTTTTAGGTTTTCACTATTTTTACTCTATTACCACCAACATACAAGGATTTTGCTTGTTGTTACTACACATGTTTCAGATAGTTGGGTTTTTTGATTTTTGCTTTTTTGCAGTATTGGGAATTGAATCCAAGGCCTCACATATGCTACACAAGGGCTTTAGCCCTTTTGTTTTATGTTTTGTTTTTGAGATAGAGTCTCATTAACTTTGCCCAGGGTGGCCCCAAAACTCCAGCTCCTCCTGCCTCCTCCTCCAGAATAGCTGGGATTACACACATGTGCCACCAGGCCCTGATCCAATAGCTTATTCTTATAATGTTTAACATTTGCAGCCTTTATTCTCATTTTTTTAAAAAAATAATCCAAATACTAGCAATAATTCAAAGAACTATGAGCAATTTACTTAAAGGAACAAGTATAATCCTTTTGTCAAAGAAATAAAATAACAAATATATTTCAGAATAAAATAGCATAACAATAAAAACAGGCAAAATTAAATACTTTTGCCGATAAAGGAGACAAGAGAAATGATTGGTACCTACACCTTAACCAAAATATCACTTTAGCAAGTGATCTTAGTTTTATTTCCCACAAAATATGTTGCTTATTACTTTGCTATAAGGAAGGGAATTAAGTGTAAAGTGCTCTTGCTTTCTCTGTACTGTCTGATATGGGAGCTTATAAGTGGTAGGCCAAGAAATAAGATACATCCTGGAAAACTAACCGAGGTAACCGAGTTCCTTGGACAAATTTATCCTATTTTTATAAAATCAAGTTGGGAGGTGTGGCTCAAGCATTAGAGTGCAAGCACTAAGCCCTGAGTTCAAACCCCAGTCCCACCAAAAGAAAAAAAAAAAAGAGTGAAATAAAATTAGAGTGTTTGAGAAGCCTTGTTAAGATTCTTTTCTTTTATATAAGTCTCTGGAGCTAAATTTTAGAAATTGTTATACTTTTTGGACGTTATCTTTAATGAACCCAAATGCTTCCAAAATGCATATTGCCTTATTAACCAATCTCTTCTGGTTTTACTGAATGTTCTGAAGGTAATTCATTTGGTTTTTTTTTTTTTCTTTTCATCTTGAAAGAAACACAAAAACAGCCTTTTAGTAAAATGATACTTATTATGGACAAGTAACAAGAAATTAAGAATTAGAGAAAAAGATCTTATGACAAATTTGTTCTGTTAACTAGCATAAGGCCTCAAGAACTTACAGCAACAAAGATGCAGAAAAATTCTTGCCCTTAAACAAAAACAGTGGTCAACAGGACTGGGAATATAGCTCAGTGGCAGAGCCATGCCTGGCCATGCAGTGGGCTCAGGGTTTAATCCACAGCATCATAAAATAATAAATAAATAAATAATAAACCACAAAGTTGTAAGACTGAATGATGGATGTCAAGGGTTCCCTTGTGATTTTGTATACTTTGGTCCCTCTAATGTCTTCCTCTTTATATTACCCGGTACCCTTGTCAAGCCCATCTAGGAATTTACCTCCATGGTCTGTGGTCCACAAGACCCATGTTAAGAGCGTGTCAGGATATAGAACTGATGGGCCCAGAACTCTAAGCTCCTTGTGGAAGAAACACCAGAGTGAAAAGTGAGACAGAAGACAAACAGTATCATACCCATACAGTGCCAACCACAGTCAGCAGCAGGCAGGCGATCCTCACAGAAAACATCTTTTCTGAGTCACGGGCTGGTTCACGAGGAGCACTCCAGCTGAAAGAGAGGAGGTTTGCCTCCCCTCCTCTCTCCTACCCCATTTAAATCTGCAGGAGGCTTGGGGTTAATCATCACCTTTGTCCTGTTTAGACAGTCAAAGCTCACTCTACATCCTTTGCTCTGACCATCCTGTTGGTATCCCAGAAATTCTTGCTCAATTCTCCTCTGTTTGTTTGCTTCTGATAAGCTATTGCGAATCATAGCATTTAGTTCTGCAGTCAACAGTTAGGGGAGGATCCCACATTCCAGGAATGGGGTGACTCTGGAAGTGCACAGGGAAACATGGAGAATGCACCCACTCTTCCACGCCTGAAGGAGTGTGAGGGCAACCAAGACAGGCTAGCTGTGGTCCCTGTGAAGGAGAGATTTAAGGAATGATTTCACTTTGTGGAGGAATCAGAGTTGAGTGGTCTGACTTTGAAAAAATGACTTAAAGGCCTCCTAGAAACTTATGTTAAGCAGATTATTTTCTCTATCAAAATGGTCAAGGAAGCAGTGTCTGGGACTACAGTATTTCCAAGCTCTGTGCTGTTGGACAGGTTACTTTACCTCTGTAAAGTACTCATTTAAAGGACTCAGTTTCCTCATTTAAAAATGGAGATAATGAAAGCCTACCCCATGTGTTTTAATGAAGAATAAATGAGTTAATCCTTGTAAAGCCCTCACAGCAGTGATTTCTGCTGATTCAGTAAGTGGCAAGGATTATTGGAAACACACCAGTTCTTTCCTTTCTGTGACTTTGAGCATGCTGAATTACTTCCCTCGTTCTTCATCTCCATGTCAAATTTTTCCGTGGCTCCATGGAACTACCACATGTAATCCTACTTCTAAATAAATCTCCAAAGAAAATGAAACTAGGATCTTCAAGAGACATCTGCACTCCTGTGGCCATTGCCAAGATATGGAAACAATCTAAAGTTCCTTAATGGATCAGTACAATGGAATATTATTCAGTCTGTAAAAGCTAGTAAAGCCTGCCTTTTGTGACAGTATGGATGAACCAGGAGTATGTTTTCCTAAAGGAAAGAAGACAGATATAGAAAGACAAATTCTACATGATCTCACTTACATGTGGAATCTAAAATAGTCAAACTCACAGAAGAAGAGAGTGGTGGTTGCCAGGAGTTGAAGCAAGGGAGACATGGGGAGATGTTGGTCAAAGGACACAAAGTTTCAGCTATACAGGATGAATAAGTTTTGGAAACATTACATTGTGTACTTAAAATCTGCCAAGAGTAAGGGCTGGAGGTGTGGCTCAACTGGTTGAGTGCCTGCCCAGCAAGTGCAAAGCCCTGAGTTCAAATCCCAGTACTACAAAAAATTCTAAATGATCCAAAGTCTTCTTACTGCAAAAAAACAAAAGATAACTATACCAGGTGATACATATGTTAATTAGCTTTTTAGTGGTGATTATTTCACAATGTATATACATATCAAAACAAAGTTGTACACATTAAGCATAGACAATTTTTATTGGGCAATCATACTTCAATAAAGCTGGAAAGAAAACCTTTGGCTTAGATTTTGCAGATAACAAAACAGGATACCCAGTTAAATTTGAATTTCCAATATATTTTAGTGTATGTTTTGTATGATATTTGGGATACACTTGTGCTAAAATTTTGTTGTTGTTTGAAATTCAAACTGAACAGGGCATCCTGTAGTTGATCTGGCAATCGATCCTATATTGTCTCAAATTTTATTTCCTATGTGAAGCCTGATAGTGGTAGTAGCTGGTATTTGTTGAGAGTTTACTAAGTGCTGAACACTTTGCTAAACAATTTACAATCCAATTCAAAGAAGTCTTTCATTCTTCTACACTTCCCTAGATCAGGTACCACTGGTACCTGATCATTTATCATTGTGGGATATTGTCCATTTACTCCTTTAGATCATAAACTTAACAATTAAAATATTTTGTTCATCTATATGTTTTGCTCTTCATGGAACAAGAAAGCACAGTGGGTTTCTCTTTGGGAAGCAGACATGCTGCCTGCTCAGGTGTCACAAACACCTGAGGCTTGCTGCAGGTGGATCTACGCCCTGGCAGAAAGCAGCACCCTCCTGCTCTGGGAAAGGTTCCTTGTCTGCTCTCTGGGATTTCTAGAAGCAGCTGCAGAGCTCAGAGGGAGCCCTACAGCCCTATCGAGGTTCCAAAGGTGGTGAGTCCACGAGAAGCTGGGTTATACTCACCCACAGTGACTGTGTTGGCAAAATGCCAATGACAGAGAGTCAGGCAAGGTTTGGCCTCATCAGATATTTTGCCCTTTGGGAAATGACATTGGTATAACAAAGAAGTTCCCAGACAGTAACCTGGTAGACTTCACAAAAGTTGATTGAACATAATCTCGTTGAAAGTGTATTAACAGAAAACAATTCAATTGAAGACCACCTCTCTGGTGTCCTGTGAGGCATTTCCAAGCACACCACCTGAGGGCTCTTCCCTTGCTGCTTCATGGTTCCCTTGAGTTTCTACACATCTCACCCTCTTACTTCATCCAAGCTTTAACTCAAATGGTACCTCCAAAGAGAGAGCTCCCCTAAAGAGCAGCCACCCTCATATGTTATCCCAAGACCCCTGCTTTGTTTTCCTTCATGGTACCTTCTCAACTGCACAATAGGGCAGCACGGGATGGTGGAGAGTGGGCTTTGTGAGAGTGAGACTTGAATTCTAGCTAAGTGACAGGACATTCTACTTAAAATCTTTGAGTTAACATAGCATATTTATCTGTAGATGGGATAATGATATTAATCTTGCAAGACTGTTGGGAGGAATATGTAGAAGGATACACACACACACACTATATACACAGTAGGGTCCCTAAAAATGGTACCTCATATTGTTCCTAGAATAACCCCGTACCCTGTAATGGAACTTTCTGTGGTGCTAGACTTCACTAGGTGGGCACCACCGTGGGCTTTTGACCTGGTCTTGCACCTACCCCATGAATGAGCCTTATTTCAAGTTACAGAGAACAGGTTTTAAGTCATACAGATTTATAGGCAATAAACAATACAAGAAGTATCATTTTTTAAAAAGTATGTGACAATAAGAATATCTTTCCAACTGCAAAAAAAAATGAATACAAATACAAGAAATTTTCAATGGCTTAAATTACATTTTGCTATATATTATATTTTTCCCAGAAATGATTATTTTCCTTAGCTGTAAGAGGGATATTTGATTCACTCATCCTTTTGAAACTGGTGTAATTTTCCATTCATAAATATTTAAATGCAGGAATTTACACAGTCGTGCCATCTGGCAGGACTGGAATAGTTTGTATTCGTATGGTATATAATGAATACAGAAAGAATAAAAATTCTATGGCTGTAACTGTATTTCAGTTTTAAACTATGCCTACTCATTGCATAAAGAATAAAATATGTAACCAGTGGTGTAGCTATTTGCTGTTGTACAAAGGCAACTTAAAAATACAAAACAAAGCAACAAAAATCAAAGCAACAGCTTTCTTTTGAATAGGCATTTGTTCTTCCCTGGACTATACCTTGTGGAGGTATGAGAATGTCCCATTGTTAATCAATTTAATTTAAATGTATTGAGTTCTGAGATCAGTTTATTCATTCATTAGTTTAAATTTAACATTTCTTTTGTGCATACTGTTTGTCTATCCTGTGTGCTGAGTGCAGAGACAGAAAAACAATAAAGTCTTTTACCTCCAAATTGCTTTCAATAGGTGGGTAAGTCAAACAAGTACACAGCAAAGAATTAGGTTAAGTCATATAAAATTGCCATGTTAGTAGGTCAAAATGATGAAAACCTGCAATTCATAGAGTTTAATCTAATGTAAAACTATAGAAAAATTATGCAAGATATATTCTGAGTGCTGGTAGAACAGACAGTGATATATCATTTCTGCATACTTTTAGTTACCTGTAAATTCCTATAAATGCCAGATTTAATTCAGGTCTCAAAAGGCGTCATGCATCTGAAAATGTGTCTTTTATGTGTCTTCTATCATAAAAGTCTGTATGAATCGAACACTTATCATTTCCCTAATACCAAAAAAACAATGGTACTTCAACATGAAATATTTTGTTAAAACAATATTAAGCCATAATTGGAAAGTACAAAAATCATTTTCTAAATTTTGAAATGCTTAAATTATAAAAATTGGCCTGATGCTGGTGGCTCACGCTTATAATCTAAGCTACTTGGGAAGCTGAGATCAAGAGGATCATGATTTGAGGCCAGCCTGGCCAAAAAAAGTTTGCAAGACCCCATCTCAACAGAAGAAAGCTGGGCCTGTCATCCCAGTTATGGTGGGAAGCATAAAATGGGAGGATGGAGATTCAGGTCCTGAGCAAAAAAAGTGAGACCTTATCTAAAAAACAACCAGAGCCAAAAGGGCTTGGGGCCTGGCAGGAGCACCGACCCAGCACTAGTAAGTGTGAAGCCCAAAGTTCAAACCCCCAAATTAAGGAGATTTGGGCATTTGTAAATACTCTTTCAGGATCTACCTCAGCAGGATGTTGGCTGGTCTCTAAAGGACTCACCAGGACACTGACAAGGGTTCTTGGCTTGGAGTTTTGGATTTCTTTCCTTCTGCATTGCAAGAGTTTTACAAATGTTTGCTTTTGCCTGTCCATTTACTGTGAAAGTATAATGAAATGACGTGAGTGACTAGTGAGACCTCTGGCCCCAGATGGTCTCCTTGTAGGTTCTAGTTGTAGAGAGAAAATGGACGTTTCCTTAAATGCATAAAAATGATTTTGAATGAATCATTCAGAATGAAGTAAGGAGGAAATAATAGAACTTAAAAAAAAAAACTTTTCTTGATCCTATCATACTGATTTTTTTATTCAGGAAGGAAATTCACTTTATTTCCCACAATGGAACTCTCTCCTGATTAATGGATATTTGAATGAATAATTTTTAACAAAAATTGTTGTTGGAATTCAGATCTATCTTGTTCCAGTACTTATATAATAATCA